ATCCGTGTAATAAGTTAAGTATGAATATACAATACATTATCCCTTAAATGTCAACCTTATAGTTTGAACGTTCGTTCGTCTTGGCTCAAAGCCACTTGCTGCGAACTTTTCTTCGCGGAAGCTTTGCGTTAATTACAAGTGAGATAACGAAATATTTAATCTCTAATCAATATTTTTTGTCCAATTATTTGCCCAGTTAGTTTTGGTATTGAGGTAAAAGTTACCTTGCATTCGCTATACAGTGGGTGGTGGTCACGAAGATGGCTGAGCAAATTTGATGCGTTTCCCCCTTTTGCAGCGACTTTCTTTTTGCAAGATCAGCAGACAGGGTGACCGTCCTCGATTAAATTGCCTTCAGGACTCTTGTAAAAGCCAAAATACGACCAGACCACCGATTTGGTCCTCTTAGATGGCTGAAAAATCTCCCGAGCGCTGTCACTGCCTTCCGCCATTTCGTCTCGTGCAAAAAAACAACAACAACAACAACAACACTGCATGCTGCTTCTGCGTCAGACTGATGCTGGCTGGACAGGATTTACCGCGAGTTTTCAAAAGCGCGATAATCAAACACGGTTTTGATGATAATTAAATTTTAAACGGTAATACTAACCGTCAGGGCATTTTATCGTGAAACCGGTAATCGTTCCATCCCTAATTGACACCTAGACTGGGCTTACCTGATCAAACAGACCCATGGCCAAAACAGGAAGTGAGGTGTAGACAATGTTGAAGAGTGTGATGAACCACTGGTCATATACCGTCTACAATGACAAAAACATATTATTCACAATCTTAAACTGAAATTACATGCATATTCCATCCACAGTCTGAAATAAGACAAAGTTTCACCTGGGCAGAGAATCCACAGAGGAATCCATACCAGAAATGAACCAGCGTGAAGGCGAAGTTCTTGTAAAAGAAGTAGCAGAGGAAGTTGCACATGCGGTAGTAAGACCAGCGGCCGTGGACGAGCAGGAGACGCTGCAGATAGCGAAACTGGGCGAAGGAATAGTCAGAGGCCAACACCGCCTGCATCCCCTCCTGTCCGCTGATGCCCACGCCAATGTGGGCCGCTGGGGAGAGCAGAGACAGTATACACACATTACACACATCCTTACAGATCAAGAAGGCCAGCATATTTCCATAGCAACCACTCTATTAGATCAGCAGTGCATCTACATTGAATACTTCAGCTGTATGGCATACACATCACAAGCACCAGACCACAATGAGCATTAAGAACCAGTCAGATAGATAGATAGATAGATAGATACATTGAACAAAACACTTTTGTTTTTGCCCCCATTTTTCATGAGCTGAACTCAAAGATCTAAGACTTTTTTTCTACGTACACAAAAGGCCTATTTCTCTCAAATATTGTTCACAAATCTGTCTAAATCTGTGTTAGTGAGCACTTCTCCTTTGCCGAGATAATCCATCCACCTCACAGGTGTGGCATATCAAGATGCTGATTAGACAGCATGATTATTGCACAGGTGTGCCTTAGGCTGGCCACAATAAAAGGCCACTCCAAAATGTGCAGTTTTATCACACAGCACAAAAAAAACCAAGTTTTGAGGGAGCGTGCAATTGGCATACTGACTGCAGGAATGTCCACCAGAGCTGCT